GTCGCTCAATAGCGGCTAAAACATAAATTTGTAAACTTTAAGATTGGGAAGAAAAGTTTGTTAAATAAGTAAAATAGATCTCTTCTTCTTTAAGAGAAGTGATAGAAAATTAATAATAAGTTAGCTGTTTAAATACTGCTAATTAGCCTTAAATTTGTGCTTTATTTATTACTTAAAAAATATGAATCATTAATGAGTCGTCTAAGTACTGTTTATGATAGTTGGCGCTTTTAGTTACCAGGTAATAATGCGAACTGAATGTGGAGGACAACACTTCTTTGTCATTAAGCCTTAATTACTAATGAAATCCTTGCATTACAGTATATAGAATGCTTTTAAAGCTATAAATACTGGAAAAATAACTAGAGACTTTCTTGCTACTTCCTTAACGGTTATCTAGTAAGCCGCATCTTTTTCATTTCAAACTCTGAGGGCTCAGTTTACAATTTATTATATTCATGCATACTTTCGCAGAACCGCACTATAATGATCTGCGATTAAACTCGAAGTAGAATTCAATACAGTAATCATGAAGAATAGAACTAATATAGTTTTCATGATAGACATTAATATGAAAGTAAGTATATTGAAAAAAAATAATAAATATAAAAATAAGGATAAAAATAATTTGAAGTTCCCAACTGGAAAGGAATGTTGCTATCCCTTGCACTATCCACAGAATGTATGTAATTGCTACAAACCAGCTTCGTGACAAAGATAATGTAAAGCAAATCTCAAAAACTGCTGTAGTCTCCTGGATTCAGTGTCCCTTAATTATCTTACAAGAATTTAGACACCTTTGCTTCTACGTTAAACAACTATAGAATTCTGCTTTATTCAACTATCTGCCGGGCTTAAACGCCCTTCAGTAGTCGCTATCATGTATGAGTCATAACAGGTCATGAAATTTAGTTCATATTGGATAGCTAAATTAATACAGAAATTATTCATAATCTTAGACATGTACTGAACGATTCTAGATAATTAGATTGCAGTATGTCCCTACACAGAATTATTTATAGTATCCTTTATAAATGAATATCTTCAGGGTATTCATTACAAGCGTTACAAGACATAACACTATAATTAATTAATATTGTTTACCTTATGAAAACTCTTACTACAGTACCCTATAATTTACTGTAACAAAATAATAACTACCGTAATTCTTACTGTAAGTCATTATTAATTATCTTCATATATAATGTTAACTACTAAATTTAGTCATTTACTCTACACGGTAGTTCGTACCGTGATAGTAATATTGAGGGTTCTTTCAAAGTAGTTTAAAAGGATATCATAGCTATCCGTTAGAGTTGTTTCCCATAATATTCACCAATAGAAACAAGGTTACCGATAAAACGGAACCATTAAACCAGCTCACTCTACTTCATGGACACGAATTACAGCTACTTTCCGACGTTTAGTGGCTATATAATACAGTTAGCTGTGATAGCATTAGATACATCTAAACACTTATGACTAAAGGCTGGCATTTCTTCACAACAATTGCTATCTAAATTGCATTGTCATTGAAGGTATAAGCTTTTTTGGGCATTTATTGGAAATAAATATTAATGTGCTCCATGAAAGCAAATTACGTTATTGCTCATTATCCGGACGTTTACCTATAATACTTTCACAGCACCTTGCATATGTTTTAGTTCTTTTTATATTCACTTTTTCATTAGTTATTTTTCTTCGAGATTCTATAAATATTACTGTAATATTTGTCATAGAAATAATTGAATTATCTAGCTATTATTCTGAAATTTAGACTAAAATTGACCCATTGGCGTAATTCTTCGACGGTTTACTAAAAATATGAAAAACCTTAAATTAAACATTTCCAACGGATAAATTATGTTTTGAATGGGATTGCAGAAAATATTCAACAATACCAAAGTAAATATGTTATAAATGGTCATTGAAAATGTATAGACTATGAAATAAATATTTTTTATTTATTAATCTTGCTTTCATAGCACTTGATATCATCAGCATACGTTTACGCCTACATTCAAAATAAAAGTGAACTTTATCTAGGCGTGTAACCTAGAACTGCTTCCAACCCTACAGTATCTAGTCACACAATATTTCAGTCAGTTCAACTAATATCTTATTTTTGCTTTCTACACTATCCCTTATTCTAATTTATATTTAATATGGGCCTTACGAGTGCAAGACCCCAAGCTACGTATGATTGTCATCCCTCACTTTGAGCCAATTGTACGTCCTCTACTGAGACGTGTCGGTACCGTCTATCTAGGCGCTATGTAGTCCCACTTAACCGTATGACTAACATCCCTAGTATTATCCACTAATAATCCGCTAGGCCTATTATACCTGATAGAGTGCCACTAACACCGTGTCACAAAACAACTTTCGTGATCGTACCTATGCTAGTCTATCTACTCTTATGATTCTCCGACTAACTCCGGAGATCCTCAGTAAGGGAAAACTAACATATTCCTATACTATTGTAATCGAGTCAAACGATAAGTTTAGATTAATAAATATATTTATTACTAGCCCGTTTACGTTAGTAACAGTGTACTCTACGTTAGCCTCTGCGGTACTCAGATTAAAAATTAATAATTAAAAAACGAAAGGATAGGCGCTTGCGATTGCTATGGATCAAAAAGTGATGTTACTAGTTTTGAGAAATTACTGCGAGAAATTATATCTAAAGATGATTCCGAATATGCGGATATAACATTAACTAGGTTATAACAATTTTTTAATAGATATTTGATATAGACTATAGGTTCTACCGTTAGCCATTTCTTTATAAGTGTAATAATAGGCCTAAGGATAGGCTCTTACTGTTGTCTATGGAATGAAGGTAGATGTTACAATTTTCGAGAATTTACTAAGAGCAAATACAGGTATCCAAGGTGGTTCCAACTCTACGGATATGACGTCAACTAGGTTACAATAATTTCTTGAATAAAGACATCTAACTATGGACTATAGGTTCTGCTGTTGGCAACTTCTTATTAATAAATGTACTAGCTAATTCCGCATAACATCCGTGTGAAAGAGATTCCGGTTATATAGTATTACTGTAAAGTTAATAAGAGTAGTATGGAGTTTCATATTCTAGCAAGGACAAGAAATGTACAAGTACTTGTAAGACCAACAGCAAAAATGACAGTACGCCAAAAACAGAAAACGATGTCGTCGTAGATAGAAGTGATATTTTCATCTAATTACAGAAGTAATGTGGTATGAAAATGTGATAGTATACAAAGTACGTAAATCACGACATGACGTAGAATGAACAGTCAGGTTTAAAAAGGTAATTATAGATCGTAGGTTTAAATAGCTACTAAAGAATTGGTGTAATTGTGATAGAATTAGTTAGTTAGTGATGACAATTATCAAATATTATCACGCCGTACTAAGAAAAAATTGCTGTACTTTAAATTTGACATAAATATTTTTTATAAAATATGACTGATTGATTAAGTAAGCGATTGAGTAAATACCATCATCGATTATTTGGATGATATTCTTAATACACAAGGCTATTTTTGGCTTGCAATACGAATTTAGGTATCTGTTGCGAAGTCTAGAATGCTCTTATTGTTTTAAACTACTTACGAGAAGCTACCTTGCTGAAATTATTCTAACTCGCTATATTAACTTCATCGGATCGCGTTAAAGTTTATTCGCATTATCATATACAATTCCACTTTCAGTATTATAAAAAAATATTCTTAAAATAACTATTTTCTTGTTATGTATTAGTATATAGTTTACGTAATCGTACAGTACAGAATTATAATCATCGGTTAGGCAATTATCTATAATAGCTATAACTTCTTAATTGCAACGTATTTAAATCTTATGAGTATTATTTATAAACTGAATTCAAATATTATTAATGATTATACATTAAGAACTGCGTGTACAGTAATAATGCATAACTAAAAATTAGTTATGGTTAGTTCATTACTTTGTAAAATTATTGGCTCGGTAAAATTGAATAAGCATATGTATAGGTACAAAAACTCGTTCGGATATACCTTGGAAATAATTTAATCTTAGCCACAGTATTCTATTTGACTTTAAAAAATTTAGGTTATAAGTATATTTCCATAGATATCTTCATAATGATTGGTTGTCTTATTCATGAATAACAAATTCTACTTCTCGAAGTAGGTTACATGTGTTATAGTTTACGTTGAAAGTCTAAACTAAACGAGTTTAGTTATCTATCAAAACAGAATTCCATTACAAGAATCCTTATTTGGAAACGTTCAGATTTAATCAATGTCAATAAATATTACAAATATTGCCGACATCAATTCACAGCTGCGAATAACAACGTATTTTTAACAGCAAACCAGCATTTCCCCAGTTCAATTAAATACAGTATGCTGTACACATTCTGCACATTAACTGGCATACAGTATATTTTACACAAGTTATTATCCGTCTTTTTCTGTTCTGTTACAATACTACTGCATAAGTATTTACTTTTAATTAAACTACAGTATGTGGCGGGTGCCTTAATGTTGCACAGTAAAAATCCTACGCCTGAACACATTCAAGTCAAAAATACACCACGGAAGTACTGTACATAGTAGATTACTAAATGGCTGGCTACATAGCTAATACTCGTATTTTGAGAATTCTTATATAAATAGTTCCCTTTTCTTAATCTAAACTTATTAATATGATAAACGTTACTAATGTTAGAAGGCATAGATTTGAAATCTTGTTAAATTCTGTTTACGCTTAGGATGAACCATACATTATGATAACATTAATACAATAGTCATTTTATAAAACCGTTGTTACAGAATAAATCATAATCGTAATCACCTAACAGTATAATAAGAAAATGCCACTGCCCAAGAATGACCCTTTACTGATACAATATTAAATTACTGTAAATTTAAATACAGTGACTAAAACTTTAACATAACGCTTCATTAATGCATTATAAAGCTCAGTTGTTCAGTTGCTATCGATTCTTGGCGACAAAAGAGCTAATTATCAGAGTCATCTTCATTTTCCACCGGCATATCTAATTTTTCCCAGTCATTGTCTGTGTCAGTGATCTCATTCTTTGAACTTTCGAGCCGTTCATCACCTTTAGGCTGATTATTATCTGGCACTTCTGCTTGATGTTTTGTGTCTCCAGATTTGACTCCATCATTATCTACTTTTGCTTTCTTCGAAGAACTTTTTTTCCTTTCCGATTTATTCTAATAGTATAGTCAATATCCCATTAGTATAATACCCAGTGGTTAAGTAAAAACCAAAGAAATAAACAAAGAATATTACAAATTTTATTACTACAGAATTAATTTACTTTCGTTTTCGATGATGGTTTATACTCTTGTAAACTGAAAACTGGAGTAAAAGATTCCAGGAACGAACAATCTGCAAATAACTGAGGTAACAACCAAAAATGGTACTTGCCAAGCGTAAACATCCATACTAATATGAATAATAAGTAACGACCTACACATAAAGAAAAGGATTGACATTGAAACTGATTCAAATGACATATTAATATAAAACCTTCTATTTCCGAACGTCGGCTATGATTAGTACGACAATTGCTTCTTAAATAATAGTGGGGTAATGTATAATATAGATCAATAATATATATATGTGCTTACCTATTGCCAGACAGATAATACCTATCACTATAAAAAGTAGTACCGTACTCAATTGTGACAGATAGTGACCAACCACGGCGGGCATAATTGGTAGAAGGTTATAGAGCATAAATACGGCCACTATAGTGAGTGAACAACGAAGTTTAATTATCGTTAGATTTCATAAAATTACAAAAATAGTAATAACACTAATGTGATATGAACTGCAGCTTACTCATGACTATACCAATCAGGTAATTATAGGGACTAGTGATTTGAAAAATCCAAGCGTACAAATCATCAGAGTCTAAGAACTCTTGCTCTTTATGTTCCTTTAACTTGATCTGATATTTTATTATTCACAAAGAAATAATATATCAGTGCGGAAGGACAAGTAAAGTACGGATAGCAGATATTAAGTCCATATTATCTACTTCGTAGTTTAATTAATGTAGAAATTTACTATAAAAATTACCTTTTTTTTCTTTTTCTTACCAGCATCTTTAGCACCCTCTTTCTGCTACATAATTTAAATTAACGGCTTTATCAAAATCATAAATTTTTAGCAAGCAATAACTAATGTAAACTAATGTATGAACAAAACTGGGGAATTGATAATATTATACCTCCTCTTCCGGTATATTGTCATCCTTCGGTTCCTGATCATCTTTGGCGTCTTCATCATTATAATCCTCATCTTTGTTGCTATCAGAAGTTTTGATGTTTTTAGTGGCATTGTCATTTCCCGCTTTAGTTTCTTCACTATCACCGTCATTTTTATCATGATCACTTGTACTGCTTTTTGCTACTTTAAATGGTGTCCACTTTTTCTTTTTAGCTTTGCCACATCTTACAAAGTTTCGTTGCAGAAGTAACCTACGCAAAAAATGTAACAAAATCAAAACACTCACATCTTTTCCGTTTATTTAAGCAGCAATCATAAGTAATGCCTTCTATCCCATTTCAATGATCAGAGCTAAATAATATTAATAACATACTGTTGACAAAATTCAATGGCATCAGCTCTATCCACGAATATAACTTTAGCATCATCATCACCAGTTGCCCATTTACTGTCCATAAGATAGTTAACGGCATGTTGACCTTGTGAACGAAAATTTTAAAGTGTATGAAAGGTTAAATTAAATACGCATTCGTACTTGAGAAGTGTTATATTTCCGAAAGAGTAAAAATTTTTGATGGCACAATTATTGGCGGTACGATAATGTCTTATTAATTGTTTTATAGATATATCTTAATGCAATCATTATAAAAAAATTTAAATTATGTGAAAATGACTGACACAGTAACGGTACTGGATGTTATTTTCAAGTCATTAACCAATCTAAACAGGTATGTTACTATCATTTCATTATATGCTAGGGTTAAGAACCTGTACTCTATAGGTAGATACTTTTCAAATACTTATCACGAAATATGAATAGATCAAAAAATGCCTGTTGTTATATTACATAAATACAAATACTACCAATGAAGTAGTCCACTTCCTCTTTATGCAATAGAGCTGCTTTAGTTTTTAGATTTTTTCGGAGGTCTGTTAAAATTTCTTGCACCAGTTTGGTGTCTAAAGGAGACTCCTGCTGAGGTGGTTGATCTTGCTCTTCAACTTCCTACATGAGTTATAGAAATAAGTTTAACTGACTTCTTCTTTCCCGGCAATAAAAACAAACAACAATAAGATGTATTTATCGGACATGATATAGAATAAAGATGAACGATGAAGCTCGAATATTCCGCAGATAGTCGAATTTATTTCAAAATTTTAAGCTCTATCATCATTCGTCATCTCTTACGATGGCACTGTACCACAGTCTGAATGCTATCATCCTATTTCTATTCAATTTTGTATGCAATAAATAATGGCCATTTTGTTGAATTGTGGCTTAGTACTCTTGATATCGCTTACGAATAATGAATGGCCATGCAGTGGCTTACTGTCTATGTATAGAAATCTTAATTATTTAGTGCTTTAATGTCAGTATATAAAAACTATTTAAATCTCATGACTTTCATCTTTGCAAAAATTCTATAATTAGTCTAACAGTAACGACAGACAAAATCGCTTCACTGCTGATGTTATCCTCCACAGTATTTTAATGTTTACCATTTGAAGTTATAGATAGCTAATTTCAAGAAAATAATTTTGAAAATGTCTTATATTTTTCTGTATATTTCAATCTATCACAGCTTAATTTCGGAAATTTGGTATAACCCTTATTGATGATAAAATAGTCTGCGTTAGGTTGACAGTTATCGTAACACAGTTCAAGGTATACAAACATAAATTCTGCAGTTTCTTCCTTTAATAATGCATTACTAAAATCTTAAAAGTAGTTAAATGAGCATAATCGAGCACAACTATATCATATAGACGTCACGTACGATGTCTAGTTACTGTTATGTTTCAAATATTTGGATTCAGATTCAATCTCCTTTAAAATAGAATAAATCATTGGTACAAATAATAAACAATGTTACTTTCAGTGATTTCTTTGATAACGTACCATTGTCCACAGAGATACACGTACAGTATAATAGTTAAAGGGTCAAGCTTATTACTGACAGAGTAGTAAATTAATCAGCGAGATATAAAGTTTACAAGGAAAGAATGATAAAGTAGTGATATAAGCGTAGAAGATGATCAATTTTCATAGTAATTAAGAAATTGTCGAATTCGGGTGACAATAACTATGTGAATGCTTATCCACAGTTCCTATCTTGATAGTTTATGAATAACACTTTAATAATACCGATATTTTATTGGATAGAAATTGGACTGCTTAGCTTTGAAGAATGATCTCGCTAAACATTAACTATGAACTTATAATTTTCTCCATCACAACATGCAGACTGTTCGTGCGCCATATTACCTTATAGAAAAAGGAAGAATTGATTTCTATCTTACTACTTTACGTTAATAACTATTTGCTTTGTCATCAATTTAAATTATCAGCTATAAACACTATTCAACAAAAATACAATAGAAACTTATGGAAGAATTTTAGTGAACAACAGTAATACACGTATACTGTACTACATATTGAAATCTAGGCTATAGCAACATTTGCGTATAACTAAACTGTTGGCAGAACTGAAACCATGGAAGAGATATAATTTCACTGTTAGATCAAATGTAGTAAGTATTGCAGAAATGTTGGTTTTAACAACCTTCTAATATTCGCTTTGGAACTGCAGTAGGGTTGTTTATGGTACTGGCGATGATCGAATAGAAAATTGCAACAACTCAATGTATACGTTTCAGTCAGACAGGATACAATATTCGTACGTGTGTGTATACTGCAACTAACCTCTATCGTTTTCTATATTTTAGCAAATTCTTGATCAAGTAATATATTCTAACTATGTTGATCTGAAAGTTATTGAAATAGTCAAGCTTTCAAATTTATTAGAGGTGACATAAGGTACTGCAATGGGCGATAACTCAACGTACCAATTACCATTTTAACTTAATCGTCTTTCTCGATTGTATGGAATTGTATATGAAATAAGATACAAAAGTACTATTGATCCAAAAGTTATTAAAGCAGTCAAACTTTGAAATGTATCCGGAATGATACAGCCTGTTGAAATGATCATAGTACCTTCGAATCTAGTGCCTGCTACCTGAACTATCAACCCAGTACTATCGTCTTTTCTACAGACGCTGTATTTATCTTTGTGAAGATCTTGCATCCCAAAATCAGATTAGTAAAGCTATACAAAATTTATTGTTGTCATCGAAATGGAGTAGTGTTTATCCTTGTAGGTCTTATTTTGATTATAACGGCTAAATGATGTTAGGATCACACGAAACAATTCCAATCCATGACAATTCTACCTAGGCTACAGTGATTTTTATGTGTTCTATTTTCAATCTATGCCTATATTACACTTCCAGTATAATATACGCACATATAAGATTTGTGACTTGATTGTCAAGCGATGAAATTACCTTGCACCGGAGAGTGTGGATTTGCTCTACGTACGCTACAAGTCAAAACACGTACACCATCGGCATAACCTAGATGAATTTTACTATATTAACCCTATTACAATGGAATGGAAAGCTTCTCTCCTTAGCGATAGCGAAATAAATTAGCTGGGTTCACTTTGTAAACTCAGCATTCTAGTTTTCCAATATTACCCGATATTATTCAACCGAATCTAACCAACCCTTGTGCCATTTATGCCGCTGTTAGCAATGGAACGAAACGGACGGAAAAACGATTGATTACTCTAGCACCTTATCAAAGTTTCATTAATATAGTAGTTTGGAGTATGGAGCATCGCATCTACTGGGCACTAATTAAGACTATTTCATCATTTAGTGCCAGTGTCCCTATTACTGATGTTTGTCTTCACCCAAAGGTGTCCAGCAAGTCTTAAACTTCAAAATCCACAATCACCAAGGAAAGATTATTGGCAATTTTTGCAAGGCATGGCGTCATGGTGATCAATCTGGCTGATATCTTACTGTAGCAGTAAAATTGAACTACAGTACTAGACAGTACTGTGGTATACAGTACCGTACAGTCCACTAGAAGGTATCACCCTACGGTACACCTGTACAGTACAGTGACGTTTGCACTCAATTACGTCGAGTTTGTTGGCTTATATTTTACTGTAGAGCAATTTCATTCCAAGATTCTACTACACATTACGAGTCATCACAGGCTGTATAGAATAGTTTCTCGTAGTACTCGCCAATCAGTGCTATCAACATACCATAATTACTTTTTTCCCTTTCCGTGCTCTGATAGTCATGATTTTGTTTCTGCGTCACGATGAACGATCTGATGGGAATGGAGAACTACTTTCCTTTCTATCTTCGATTCATTTGAGGAAAATCTCTGACTGAATATAATAAATAAATAATCAGTAGACTGCACCGCATCTTGTACAGTGTACAGTACACTGAGTACAGTATACAGTACAACCAAGAGTACTGTACACTGTAGCCTTGCACTGTGCAGTGCGCATGGTCGACGAAATACAGTACGGTGGCCCAAACCAATCATACAGTAGCACAGTACAGTATGCAGTAGTACTGTGCACATCATTCAGTACTGTACTGTACTGTATTTTATACTACTGTACATCTTTGACACTACCGTACAGTACTGTACATTGTACAATACAGTACAGTACTTTGGACACTGGTTTACAGTACTGCCTACAGTACTAATAGCAATAGAAATACTGTACTGTGTTACTGTAGAATATTCGTATTTGTTTGTCTTACAAGCCCCTGACGGTGACCTGAGAAAGGTTCTGTTCGGTTCAAAACCTTTATAGTCTGTATGAGGGCCTGACTCCATCAGTATTCACTGTACTTTGTTACTCGCCGAAAATTTCGCAAAAGTCGAGTGGCTTTCAAGAAAGGTTGCCACAAATTTTCTCTTAATTTATACTGTACTATATTATGACTAGAAATGACCAATGTAGAGTTACATAGTACTGTAATTTACTGTGAATGTTACATTTAAAATTCTAGATATATTCTCTTACTGTATGTTAGTTACTGTACAGTGTACTGTTCGTCATCGAACGACACAAATTTTGAAATAAATTAATATATCTACTAGGAGTTTAGGACTATATATATATATATGTCATATACACTGAGACTGAGTATATGTCACGGTATACAATCTCAGTAATAGAGATTGATAGTTCATCTGGATCAGCATCTACAGTAGTGTATTTAAAACATCGATAACCACTAGTAGAATTAGCCCTCGTGATAGTAATAATACTGTTCAGTACTTTGATGTAGCAAGTAAAAGGTTAATTTTACTGCTCACCACTACGTTCATGTATGTATGCTAGCAAAATGGTCTGTGTATACGCGCATATGCCACTTCATAGCATTCCGCTTAGTCTCATTATTATGGGATTAACCTTTCGCAGAAAAACCCAACACTTGTACTTGTTTATAGTTATCAGTGATATTTTCAATTCTTTATACTCTTCAGACTGTAATCTTAAATACTGAAAAGGGATAGATTCAATACCTCCCGTAATACTTGCAAATTCGGTCAGAAATAGAAAGTCCACTAGTATTTTGCTGTATTGATGGGATGAGTACGACATACTCGTAAGAGCGATAGTGTAGAATTGCAGTATACCCGCCAGGACGATACACTACAGTGTCGTGCATAACCGAACAAAATTAGTATAAAGGGTATCGCATTTTTTACACGTGCATGGAATCGTCAAATGCAAATAGGCATGGGTCACAAATGGCTCAATTTAGAAATTAGAACGTCAGGATACGGTATTGAGATGTGTAGTAAAATCACCATACTGCAAACCGTGATTTTGTAAACACTCAAGATAAAGCAAGTTATATCAAGTAATGAGAGATCATTGGGCTGATTCAACACATACGCGTAATACGAACTGATCACAAACGGCACATCATTTTACTAGGTTCGCTTCGTTATTTCATTTAAGTCCACCATCAATAGCAAGTTTATTATAAATAAGACATTCAATTGGTATTATAAAGCATTTGCTTGCACTAACTATGCGTATCTGCAAAAGTACTCATATGTGCGTATAATACATTGCAAGCTCGTACGGTAAATTTAAAAAAATAGTGAATTCAATCTTCTACAACATTTACAGGGTTAGAAACTACCAGTTCAACTAAACATCAACTGGGCTTTGCTCTAAGATCTCATTTAACTGTAGTATAATATTGTTAAAAACGGATATTAAATACTTGTAATTGTTTCATTGATTCTTTCGGTGATATTTTTCGGTGTTAAATAATGTTTCTAGTAATTGATATTACATCCAGAAATATAACGTACTTTTCCTATAGACAACTTTATCAGTATTAATTCGCGGTTGTCCTTCAATATTGACATTTCTAGCTAAAAATTTTAATGTTATCTATATACTAAACTACAGAAATTAGTCATGTTTCAGCCTATTTCTACAGTACCAACATCTTGTTATTAGAGCCGGGTCTCGTTTTCCTAAGGATTCAACTTTGCTAACGCATTAGGTACCACAGCTCGTGCTAAACTCTGACTCATATTCACGATTTTATTTAGTAAATTATTACGGTCCCCTTAAATAACCCTACTCTCAGTTGCCAGTAGAACTATCAAACTAAATTATCAGATTATCACATATGAAGATGTACAGTATGCTATGGAAAATTCAATAAAACCATAACGCAGAGCTACACAAACTGAAACTCCAGAACTACAAAATAACTAATGGTGCACGTTCTTAATTGCCGTATGATAGCGCATCGAATTTCTTTTACATACGAGCAATTATAAAATTATGCAGACAAATCTTTCAAGCTTCGTGTTATCGATAGATAAAGGAATTCATTCTCAAAATATAAATGGCCTAGTAAAGATGGTCTAAGTGAGAATACAACTATAATATAAAAAAATGCCAATAGTTTCTGAGCTTCGTGTTTTTTTACCAACCGCGTAATGTTTTCTGCGTTATCAAGAAGCCTATCATATTGATCACTTTAAGGACATGCTGATTTAACTACAGTAAATAACCTTAAGTATGCTATGATTCTTCACTAGGCGGAAATAGGGCTTAGGAGCTACTTATAAGGTTCAATTTAGGAAAGAATATATAACAGAAAAACTTTATTTATGTGCTCTACATAATTTATAACTCGCGTCTAGCCAACATTTATGCTATTAAATGAAAAGAAAATCGATTAGAAGAAAAGCTGAGATACTATAAAGATCTGATTTAATTATCCATAAGAGTTGGAAAATACGTTCACCTAGGTGTCATCCTATTGACTTTGCCTTATCTGTGGGATATAGCTCATCACTGTACTGTATATGAGAATTTTAGTCAACAGGACTTGTTTCGTAGTTTTAGATATTTATTTTAGGCATTTTGAAAATCTAGGCTTTCGATATGTATTTTCTTGAATTACAGTATATTATACAACTTTTAATCCTCGCTGGTATCCCTATTGTAAGGGAATTGACTTTAAAAAGTAATAGATACAAAGTTTGTTGTGGGCTCATTTAGGGATTCTCAGATTAATATAGGAATCCTCAGATAATATCTATATTTTTATATGCTACTTTTAAGGGAAACAACCAATAAAAAGCTATTTCAGGCTCATAATTCAGATTAATCTATTTCCGCGAGCAAAATAGCGTCTGAGAGATATAGATATGTACCGTACAGTGCCTTCATTCGCGCACTAGCAGTCGGTGTAAAATAATTTGTTCGCGTAAGATGCTAATACGACTAAAAAATCACAGTTATCAAATTTAATACAATAGGGCAACACCTACCAGGTCGGATCATATCATATTTTGAATTCTGCTCTATTTATTAAAACACATATATAATTAGGGTTCTTTCCTGCAAGTATATAAATGTTAAATATAAACGAGAAAGTTGATGTCAAGAAACTATATCCGAGAAATTTTCCGTAACTGGATTCTAATCGAAGAAAAATTTTTATGCAAATATTAGCAATATTGCGCCACTAAGATATTATATGATTGTGTGGAATTTATACAAAACGAAGTAAAATTGGGGCTATAGAAATACCGGCAATCAAAAAAATGAATTTAGTACATGAAATGTGCTGTATGAGTATTGGCTCAATAGGATAATTTAAAACTTAAATCTTTGGCTATTGATAGGAGAAATACCCAGAAATAAATATCATATAGTAGTCATGTAAATTTAAAACTATAAATTTATTGCCTTGATTAGGTGGAAATTAACTACTGCCATACCATAATAATGTATAATCAATCTTGTATGAGAACTTTACTTTCTTACTGTTTATAAGATCTCGACTGAATACAAATATAAAGCACAATTGGCAATTTAAGTTAATACGCTAATATGAAGCTGGTAACATCAGCAGTAACTGAAATAATATTTTAGTTCAGGTTCTTTAGCGGAACAATGATCATCATTATGATCTTAATGTTCTATGAGGTCTGTCAATGTTCATATATGTAGTAGATTATAACTGTGAGTAAAACATCCAAAAACGTTCTTAAGTTTAATTTGATTTTAAATAATTTTATATGATAACTATGCTCATATCTTAAATTTGATTAGACTTATTTTAAAAAAGCTGACACTAGTATTTTTAAAAGTGTTTATCTGAAGTCTTGACGATGTAAGACTCTAAATACTTTTGGCACGTAACGTTACATCTCTTAGATCATAATAGCTAATTGATAAAAAGATCAACGGAACCTGAAGAAATAATTATGCGTTAGACGATTATTTCTTGCAAGAAAGAGATGCCTTCATTTTTGAGTACGATACGTGAACATCATTGGCAGATTTTCAGCCATTAAAATCTCGTAAGAGTTTTGGCTAACTATAAAAATGTTGAATTATGATTAATCTAGCATCCTCACACAATTACCAACCGAATATTAAAATTATAGCAATGCTGTATCTTGTACTGAATTTTCACATCATTTTATTTAGCAGATACCGAACAAAAAACCTAATCAGCTTTGTGTTAAAACTGACACTGTACGTCATCCTTAGAAATTTATCATAAGAGCGTATCTGTCATTGTTATGATGCTATCAAGGTCACAAAATTAAGTAATGTTATATACTCTACTAGGGCTTTAAAAGTGATCGATATTAAGATAGTTAATAATAGTGCAGAGTGATCAAACATATAAGTACTGTTAACTGAACTATTTATACAAAAAAATAACATTATATGTTTGTTGTCTACCTTTACATATATATGCGTACCATTACAGTATTGAAGATCGGCAAGGAAATATCTGTAATTGATAATATATTCCTCATTATTTCATGAAAGATAAAGTAACACTCTGTGGATTTTTATAGAGTTGATTTATTAGGTCTTGAGAACTGCTTGTTTATCATTTATAGTAGAATGCAACAACTTTGCACCAATGACTTAATGACTTAAAATTATAGTGCACCATGCATCGGCTTGATCATAACATTTAGAATAACTTTGGCACTATATTATAAATATAGAATTTAAATTATGAGCAAAAGAGATTTTCAAATTGTTTTTATGAACTAGATAGAAATAAACATTATGCCTAACGACAACCAAAACAAACACTGAAATTACCGTTAAAAACAACTCCACAATACTTTCCCACATACTGTTTTTATACTATCATGAATGATACGTTCAAATTTTCATATTTTATATAGCTCTTTTCGTGAATATCAGTACAATTTCAGTTTTTACGCCGAATCGGTCAAGCAAATGGTCGTCGATTGCGTCGTTTGAAAATCAAATTTTTTTCGGAAAGAGCAAGGTTTCATCGTTTTTTGATAAAATATTTATCGACATGGCTTACTATTATGGCAAGGCATCTAGCCGGACATATTTTGGGGTGACTTCAAGTAATTAAAAATATCAATTCTAAGTTATTTAAGAATAAATTGAAAATTTTATGCTCATTAAATACGTGATGCACGTATTCTACACCATTTTTTAGTATCCATTGTATAGCCTAGGGGCAATAATCCATATAACTGTTTTACCGATTTTTCTGCAGAAATTCAGAGAGAAAAAAAGTTACAAGATCAACTAAAGTTTACTGATACTCATCTGCAATCTAAATCATGTAGGTACTATGCCTGTTCTATAATTGCTATGGAAGGAGCTCATAGAAGCTCATAGTGATATTACGTTTAAGTTCATTCATATTTATTTTATATTATAACATGATTGTCTGTACGTTAATTTTCAGCAACCAATCAGCAAGCAAGCACCTCCAATTTATCTAATACTATAATTATAATACCGGACAATCCAGTCGATAGCTCTAGCTCAATTGATGTAAATTTATAGCTAAATACAAGGCGTTTTTGATATTTAGAAAAAAAATTTTTTTTTTTCCTCTCCAGTGATTCTTCTGTAAAATTAATGTTTTACAGGAAAATGTTGGAAACAATTTTACCGATAAAAATCCTATTACCGTGGAAGAAACATTATGTGATTCATTGATTCAATTACAGCAAAGCAATAGCAGTGAGCTTGGACAATCGAAGGAAGCAGGTGTCACAGATGTGGTTATTAGTAAAGAAGATACAACTATAGCATTGGAGGAAGCAGCTTGTACCGATAAAGTCGAATCAAACATTACTGAGGTTTTTGACGAGTCGGATATAGATGAATTAAATCAGGAAGAGATGGAACGCAGTGAAAAAAAACCAAAAGATAGCAATGAATTGATAGAGGAAGAAATAAATGTGAATCGATTTGACGAATCTGGCCGACCTGAAGCCAGCGCTTTTCGTCCTAGCCGTCATGCTAGCAACTGTAAATTGAAAGAATTTGGATTAGGAAAAAAATATCCAGATAAGCACAAAGAAGTTAAGGATTTTTATCGCTATCTAAGAAGTTCCGGTAAACCGCATGGATTTGCAAGGAATATTGCTACCGCAATTAATAAATACTTATTTTGGGCATGCGATGGGAACGAACTATCATGGCAACCTATTGTAGATTCTCGAAAGTTAAGAGTTTATACAGATTTGCTCTACAAAGATGCTAAATTATGCGAGTCGAGTATTTGTAATTTTATTGGGAGCGTTGATCGAGCCAGACAGTTTGCCTGTTATCGTAGGCATTTATCCGGAATTGATTACAAGGAAGATATCTTTCTGAGCGGATTATTTAATCGCTTTAGGGCTCTTCGTAAAACGCGCGAAAGAGAGGTTCGCGCATCTTACCATAGTGGCTCGTTTTTGATAGATCCAGCAGAATTGTTTAAGGTTGTAAATCATAGCGAGTATCGAGATAGATTTGAAGAGCTAACTGCCTATGCAAAAGCACTAATTGAGAAAAAATCTTGGCAAACCTTTGATAGAAAGAGTTATACATATAGTCTCCGTTTTGTTTTAGCTCAATTACTGGTTACCTGCAGGCCTAAGTTATCTGCTCTTTGCAACATGACATTTGCTGATGTTCAAGATTGTGAAGGATCGTGGGATAATGATGGAGCCGAAATAATTATTACAATTTCAGATCGCAAAATTACAAGCATGGATGGCATGATGATTACCGTTCTTGGATATGCGAAGTATGCGCTGGAAAAATATATTCATTATATCCGCTTGGTCGTGCCATTAGTCCAAAAAGATACCAAAAATTTAGTCTTTGTGAACAGCAACGGAGGCAAGCTAGGACCAGCACAAATTAATCGACACATGGATCAATTCTTCGGTATTGCTGGCTACAATAACATTAATACAACGCGGATAACAAAGTCGATCGAACAAGGCACTAAAGAAGAATAAAACATTTGTAAATTATGGTATTCGTAGAAAATGATCTGTTGCTATAGCTACTAAGCCACGCCAGTTGCTACTTCAATTTATTGCAAATCGTGTACTACATTACTACAGACAGTACTGTATGTTAACTGTTATACCAAAATATTTAAATCATGATTAGCCATTTCTTCAGCGTATCTGTTAAATTTTCGCTAAAAAGCACACCGCCTTTATCCTCGTATACTCAGATCGTTCGCAGTTGTCTCTTTTCTGAGTGTATGATTATGCCAAATTAAACTTTGTTAATGAAAGTTGCTGACATATAGCCAGGTTTGATCGGAGTTCTCGTCGTAGATGTCTTTGCTAATTTTAACCATTCAGTATGCAAATCACTTCAAAGCTAATTTGTATTGTACAGTATAATACGCTTACAAAGTGTCTTTTACAGTATATCAAAATTAATTTTTTAAAGCCATGACGGCAGAATTGAATTCATTTGCATGCATTTTAATGAAATCTAAGCTATTGATTCACATTGTATGATTTATATCCCGCATCTAACTTGCTCCCATGGGATATTTAAAGATTACGAAACATGGTTGGCTCTTTCTAGCCTGTTCTTTTGCACGAGTCGAATTTGCCGATTGACATGTTAACTTTTTGTGCTTTATTACAACTTTAACTTTGCAATATTAGAACTAATTATGCGGTTGTTTTCAATAAACTACCGCTTCCTATTTATTAGCTCGTATTCAAACAATTATGTATATTATCAGTAATTATAATCAATTACCTCAAATAAATAGTCAATCGGTTAAAGAAAGTTTTCCAATTCTCCAAAAATAGCAGCTACATTATTTAATTTAGCTAACGTGCTATAAAAAATTGCAAGTGGGCGTTCTGGCGTCAACTCTTTATTCCATGCATGGATATAAGTGAAATGGTGTTACAAATCTGTCGACTCATTTCTTTGGACTGATTGTAGAAGCAGACTGAGCACTGCAAACATACTTCGTAATTCGCTTGTGAAAGAAAGTAGCACAGCAATGCTTCCGTAAGAAAGGAAGCATTGCTGTGCTACAAATTTGTAACACCATTTCACTTATATCCATGGAAGCATGTATAAATGCTTCCATGGATATAAGTGAAATGATGTTATAAATTTGTCGACTCATTTCTTTGGACTGATTGCAGAAGTAGACTGAGCACTGCGAATACACTCCTTAATCCGCTTGTAAAAGAAAGTAGCACAACCATGCTTCTATAAGAAATTTCGACTGATGGAGATGCAAACATAAAATTTGATTGATATATTTCGAAATGGTTCGACCATCTTGATCAAACTACAAATTTCTGCACCGTACGCTCAGTACAGTGTAATGTCTCTGTCAATGGCCAATTTCTATACTGTAGCAGACTTTCAAGAGGAAATTTCATGTTCTGACTGCAATGATGCAGAACTCAACACGCATGTACTGTACATTGTACAGTACTATACTGGACATCGATAGAACATGACGATCATGTGAGCACTGTACTGTACAGTACAGTACTGTTCAGTGTACACTGTACAGTACATAGTACAGTACAGTGTAGTGCACTGTATGGAAGTTAGTACAGTGCACAGTACGGTAGAATACAGTACTGTACAGTCTAAAGTTGAAAGTTGCCTAACATCCCTCTACATCTTTTTGAGTGGGTCCGTGTAAAACTTCTTTATTGCGGCTGTGCTCTTGTTCTTGTTGCTATAATTTTGAGTTTCTATTGCTTTGAACTAGTGTTAGACAGCAAATTACTGGCCAGAAATTAATTTATTATTTGATAAATTCTCCAATCGAGAAAGTTTACGGAATAATAAGAGTAAGTACTGTACCTATAGTATCTAGTGCTACGATTGACCGGCCTCTTTCGTCGGTACTGCTTTAAATCAACAGTTAAATTGTCTACATAATTTATTTATTTTAATTGACTTCATTTTTGTAGGAGAATGGAAGAATCGTCTAGTCGATTTAGCCAGTATCGCCAACGTTTCCTTCAACGGATTGTTCGATTAAAGTTATATGATAAAGAAACGATCGCCAATACAGAGCTTAAGCGTTGCTTGAATGCATTCGATCTAACCGCCTTAGGCGTCGGCAGCACTTTGGGTACTGGAATCTATGTAGTGACAGGTCAAGTCGCTAGGCAAACGGCAGGACCTGGCGTAATTGTTGCATTTGCTATTGCTGCTTTTGCTTCGATTTTAGCCGGTCTATGTTACGCTGAATTTGGTGCTCGGGTTCCGAAAACTGGCTCTGCATACGTCTTCAGTTACGTTACGGTTGGTGAATTAGTAGCCTTTGTTATCGGCTGGAATTTAATCCTTGAATATGTGATTGGAACGGCATCCGTTGCTCGAGCATGGAGTGAGAACTTTGATTCGTTACTTGGCAATAAAATATCCCATTATTTTCTCAATCATACGCCAATGGATATACCCGGCCTAGCAAAGTATCCTGACTTCTTCTCTCTTTTAATCACCTTATTATTAACGGCAGTCTTGGCATTTGGGGTTAAAGAATCTTCCATAGTCAACAATATATTTACGACTGTTAATCTGATGGTAGTTGCCTTTGTAGTAGGGGCTGGCTTCTTCTATGCCAATATTCACAATTGGGAAATTCCACCATCAGAGGTACCTGACCCAGCTAAGGACGGTGAAGGAGGATTTTTCCCTTTTGGATTTGCAGGCTTAGTCAGTGGTGCAGCGACATGTTTTTATGCCTTCGTTGGCTTCGATGCTATCGCTACGACTGGCGAAGAAGTGGTAAATCCGCAAAAAGTAATCCCTCGTAGTATCGTCCTGTCCTTGATAATTTGTTTTATTGCATATGGTAGCGTTTCTGCAGTGATTACTTTGATGTGCCCATATTACTTAATCGACCCAAAGGTACCACTACCACAAGTATTTGCTTACAATCATTTACCTTCCGCCCACTATGTTATATCGGTTGGAGCTGTTTGTGGGTTATCTACTTCTCTACTTGGTGCTATGTTTCCTCTCCCACGTGTTGTGTATGCAATGGCTAGCGATGGACTATTATTTAGGTACGCTTAGTTTTATAGAAAGTAGTAAAAGTAATCTTTTATTGTATTCTAACTGATTTCGTCAATATCGATTCGAGAATATTGTGAATAAAACCAGGTCGTCATAGTATAGTAATATTTTCTAGTGAATCTCGCTATTAAAAGCAGCCGAAAGCGCCTCAGATTACATTTCGATTCTTTACTGATAACAATATATTACAGAAGTTGATGAAAATTGTTATTAATACGATTTCCCAACTAGATAAGGTGATTTGATCTCTTGGTAACTTTAAATTATCGCGTAATATAATTAATTAATAATTTATGTATATTCACTGATTTATTTATGAATTATGTTACAGATTTCTTGCAAACGTTAATCCACGTTTTAAGACTCCGTTAATTGCTACTGCCGTATCTGGGCTGCTAGCTGGCCTAATGGCAATGTTGTTTGATTTAGCTGAATTAGTTAATATGATGTCCATTGGCACCTTATTAGCCTACACACTAGTGGCGGTTTGTGTTCTTATCTTACGATACCAGCCTGATAGCTATACAGAAGGTCGCAGTGGTGAAGATCCTAGCGTTCGACCAATTGATAGTTCTTTTGTAGATCCTAGCCCAATTAATTTTACTGATAGCGGAAATGAAACAGGCAATGACAAGAATGAATTAAGGGCAAGTCAACTTCATACCGTACTACAAAATAGCCATAGCTTAAATCCTGATGATACTTACGTTCCTTCTGATGAATGCCAACTGATTGAGAAGCAGTTGCCTGAACCTACTAATCGCAGTGGCCGATTGGTTATAATGTCTATTTCAGCAATCAGTGTTCTCATTCTGGCATTTAACGCAATTATCGTTTTCGGAATGGAGTATTTAGCCAAGAAAGCTTGGTGGTCAATACTTTTGCTCTGTATTTTTGGTATTGGTATCATTGCTCTCACGGTCCTCATTTATAAGCAGCCTCAAAATTCCAAAGAATTGAGTTTTAAAGTTAAATTTCTACCATTTTTGCCTATATTCAGTGTTTTCATTAACCTATTCCTAATGCTTAAACTACCTTATCAGACCTGGATTAGATTTGGTGTATGGATGGCAATCGGTAAGTCCAATTTATGACGTGAGATAAGTAATTAAGAAATTAAAACTATAAATAAATATTATAGTCTCAAATGCTACAAAAATCGTGTGCCCTGTTAGTATACCGTATAGATCAAAATAAGACTAGACATGTCATTACAGTAGGGTTCATTATATATTCGTGAACGCGTTATGATAATAATTTACAAGACTGGAAGTACATATAATCTAGTTGACTGGGTTATTTGCGATTGTTAACTGATACTTTTTCATCTATGATATACAGTCATACATACATTACGTAGTATTTAACATGTCGTAAGGAACATACCCAAAGTAGTTACAAGATATCGTGACCACCAATTTATCTTGGTGCTGACACATTACTAGGAATTAATCCATAGCATAAATTTTTTTTACATATTATGTCGAAATAGGTTTTATAATCTATTTTGGCTATGGAATGTGGTTTAGCAAAGAAGAAAGGCAAATAAAGGGAAAAATAAGCAGTAGCACTATCAATCATGGACCTGTGCATCTATAAAGGAAACAATTTTCTTATTACGAAATACCTCAGTGTTATACTGTATATGTAGCCTGCTTTAATAGTATCAACATTACTTATATCACGATATTTTTCTATGAATTTATAAAACGTACTCTAAACTTTGTATTCAGTTTATGCTATTATTACGGATGCCTTCTGCACGTAATCTATGATTCTTAATATTAATAGAAAGTATCTGTAAGAAATTTATCGTAAATTAGATCTTTTGTACATCTTATTATCCGGGATATTGACCGGCCAGTACATTTCAGAATCTCATTTTTATATTTTATATTACTATGTGTATATTCCTTAGAGGAGTTATCTGGTAAAATGCGAAAGTAGAATATTTCTAAAATACAACTGAATCATTGCAATGTTTATAAAATTTGTATTGTACTTCACACAGTTGCATTCTTAGTAGACGTTGTTAGTTAATATTATTAATAGTAATTGAAGTTTCTTTAAAAATTTCATCTATTGTTACAGGACTGCTATTGGTAACAACTTTAATTCTGTATAGTAAGTGCAGTAACGATATATTTATTGGCCATGTAAGAAGCTTTAAACCAACCAGCCAAATATTGCGTGAGAGTATCAGTCCGTGATATATTACAATATAAAGAGAAGAAGTGATATAATGAGCGCTATGTATTGGCGTATTTGTCAAATTTTAACAAGCCAGTAGAGACCGATGATATATTTTTTTATAAATTCTGTACTACATTTTATTTTGATAATAAAGTCGAAGTTTATTGAAAACATTCTATACAAGGAATGATTTCAGACCAATAGCTAATCTAAATACGAGGTGTAGATATTACCCTAAATCTAATAAAGAGATAACAAAGAAAATAACGCTAAGGTTACATATCTATTACAACACTCTTGTGTATGAGAACAGAGCCGAGCTAGTGACTGTATTAGTTGAACATGATTTCTGAATTTTTAATAGATTTCTCTTCTGAGCAAATATTCTGCATGCAACTGTTACAGCTAAAACTGCTATAGTTTCTCTTTCATTTTCATAAGGGGAGAATCCAGAGTCTAGAATATTTTTAATAGATTCCCTTATATACAATTATCAAATCCAATCAATTAGCACTTCAAATGCAACATTCAGGATTTTGTTGTATTACATGGTAATGTGGCTAATAACACTATGTGTGTTATGACTCATTATTTTATTAGTGATTCTATTGGTTTACTCATGCAGTATTAATTTTAACTTCTCAAAGTGATTAGTCAAGCATCATTAACAGTATAACTCGATGCAGAAAAACGTAATTGCTAGATAATTTTAATTTAATTATCATTATTATGATCTAAATGACAGAATTAATGAAATATTTGGTTTCTGCACTTTCCTACTTTTACTGCTCGTCGCTATGTTGTAATAGTCCTTGCTAGTATTTAAATCCTTAAAAAATATAATTTTAAACTATTTGCAATAGATCGCTATAATCCATAAGTGCTAATTTTTAGCTTCATTTTTGCCTTAACATTCTTTTAGGTTCACTTGTCTACTACAATCTATCGTATATGCAATCATATTATTGCAGGGTATACTCTTGGTTTACAGGTGAACACTCGATATACTCCATCGCAGGATTCAAATTATCATACACCGATTGATCTTCTTCTGAAAGCAATTTAGTTAATATTTCAGATGCTGATGGCCTGTCCTTAGGATAAAATTCCCAACATTCAGTCATAAGTTTCCAAATTTCGTTACTAATGCAAGTAGCCGGTCTACTCAGGGCTTCTTTTGTCTGACCACTTTTAATGATGGCAGTTACTTCATCAAAGGTATACTGATAAAATGGTGATATCGCAAATGAGAAAACTTCCCACATTAGTACACCAAAGGAATAGACATCACTTTCTTCAGTATACAGTGATCTTAGTAAAACTTCGGGTGGTGACCATCGTAAGGGAACATTTTTCATTTTCTGCATCTATGGTTGGATGAAATTTTAGGCAAATAAGTAGCAAACTAGAATAACGCATGTTTCAACATGCAATGTAAGTGTAGCTGTGCAACTCTAATACTACGTAATTTTTTATATTTTTACCTTGTAATGTTGATCAGCATATATATCTTTACATAATCCAAAATCGGATATTTTAAGATGCTTATTTTCACCCAGTAAACAATTTCTGGCTGCAATATCGCGATGTATGACTCTCAGATTGGATAAGTAGTTTAAAGCCGATGCTGCTTGGACTAGGAACCTAATGAGATCACTGTGCTCAAGATATTCAACGCCTTCCATATTGATATAATCATTATTTTGTAGCCCTTGACATAATAAATCCGACATAAAGAATTTAGTGTTAGATCTTAAGAGCATTACTATTCGTCTACCTTACTCTATTGATAAAGAGAGTTACCGGTATCGGCTATAGTTGTGAATTAAACGAAGACTAAACAATGCCATAATCAATATCATAATTATTATTGCTTCACTAACTATAAATAATATTAATCAAAATTGTTAGAATGCGGTCAAATACTAGTCTTATTAGACAAAATAACGCATGTAGTGTGAAAATTTGCAACGAAATTATTTACTATTAAGTGATGGTCAATAAGCTATTGATAAATCATTATTACTTAATTATTCTTATAGCTTAGCTAGATTTTCCTTACTCTTTCCTATTGCAACACGATGTTCTGCTTGTATAGGCGCAGCATTATTAGCTAAGTAATCGTGTAAATTTCCATTCTGCATGTATTCCAAAATCAAATAGTAAGGATCACTTGTGAATGACACACCAATTAATTTGACGATATTTTCATGGTTAAACATGGCATTAGCGGAAGCCTAAGAATAAGTAAGCATTATTTTGAGAGTTACAATAGATTGCTGTATTACATAGATGATTCTTTTAGCAATACCTTCAGCATATGATCATTAAAAGTAAAACTAGTAAAATCATGCATATATTAATTAACTGAAAGCTTTGTAAATCTAAAGTCTACTTTAAATATCGGCTTAGATGTAATCGCTCACACTATACTGGTATACTGTACATATACTTTTCGGTAATGTGTTATTAGTGCTATATTAGTTATCAAATAATCAAAATTTTACTACATTAGCTGCTTCGTATCAGCTTTACTGGGACAGACCTCGTCGATAAACTTTTGCTTCTGAGCATCACTCTCTGATGCTTTCAGTAACTTTAGTGCTACTGGTGTTTCTTTATCGTTATCCAGTAGAAATCCTTTATAAACCTAATAAAATGAATTGATCATATATGATACATATTTGAATTCACGGACTATTGATTAATGATCATATCTGGGCTATGTTTAGATATTTGAATATAATTTACTTTAATATTTACCTAAACCAAATTATTGTTCCTTACCGTACTGAAATGGCCTTCCCCTAATTTTTCTTTCACTTGTATTTGATTATTTTGAAAGAATGTAACGTCATGTAGGCTTGATGTATCTATTGTAAGTTCTCGCGAAGGAGCATTGTGTTTATAGCTGATTTCTTTGGAATCATTTTCGGCTGCCACCCCAGGTAAATTTCTAACCATTGTCATTTCGTTATCACGCGAAGATGATCGAATTTTGTTACTGCTATAATAGCGTAGCATTGCATAGCCTGCTGTTATAAAACTACCAACCACAGCTATGACTATAATCACGATTGTCCATACAGGCAAGGTCTCTGTAAAAGTTTAAAATTAAGATATCGTTCATTCAAATATTATACAAAGAACTGAAAACCCAACCTTAGTTTGCTAAAAAACCGATTCACTCCATATCGTATTAAAATTTTAAAATCATTGAAATTAGTTTGTTTAATGTCTTCTTACGTAATTGTAATGAATGAATTTTAAACTAAGGGTTGACAATCTGCTAACTGCAAATTTGAGTTGTAAAAATAGAGTAAATCTCCATGATGCGTCAAGACAATAGTATGGTACTTCATATTTCGATAATATTTTCAAATTAAATAGCTACAGTTAAGTGAAATCACTACGGCTTTAAAAATAGGTGTTCCGAATAACGATTACCGATTTTGCCGGTCTTGCAGCACAATGTATACCGGTATTGAATTTGAAAGTTACAAGGTACTTGCAATCAAGGATTATAATAATAGTTACTATAGACAACTTACTTCGTAACGTAGATTACTAATATCAACCGGCAAATATTTTATCATGTGTAAAGTTAAAGTACAATATAATTTTCGATTAGATGAAATACATGTCCTAGAATAAAGTGAGCAAGCATCGATGCTTGACTCTATCTCTTTTGTATTAGTTATTACAATATTCTTTTCGAACTGCAATAGCGCCAGTTATTTAACACATTTTATATTTACCCGCAGAGATTTCATTGAACAGTAGTTGGCATGGCTGCTTGGTAGAGAAATAAGAACAGTTCCTGGGTATATATGTATGGGTAGGAATAATTCCTTTCCCATAGGTATTACTATAAGCATGAATAGCTAAACGACCCCATTCGATCGGACATAATTCCAGAGCTACCTTGCAGCCTTGGCGACAAATGCGTTCATTATCACAAGGTGGAAATACGATTGTGCAAATTACTTCCTTGGAGATCTCTAGACATCCATTTTCTAGTTCATTAAGCACAAGTAGCAGCAACAATGAATTTCGTGGTCTCGATATACAGTTATCCTAATATTCTTACTTGCGTTTTTATCGTATTAAATCATTTCATCGATGGTATAATATGAATTTTTCAGTTGATTGAGACTACATTCATCTAATTCAGCAACAGACAATATGGCCAACAATTCTATTACTTCAATCAGATTTAATCGACTGGTAGCTAGAGTTTCTATACTGCTATTTCTCACAAATGAGAATTTATTTCTACATTGCAAGCGATTTCGTTTAGTAATATATAGCTTAACCTTTATAGAAGTTATTGATGCTCAGTTTCACGAATTATATAAAAAGATATGAAAGACAAAGTGAGGCTTAATGAGACTCGATTAATTAATTTATATATCAACGAGTATACTAGAGTTGCAGCTAAATCTTTTCTTGTATGCTGCAGCATTTATTGCTGATAGTAAAAATTATCTTGTTAAACGCTGGGTTAACTATACAAAATTAATATTTTGAGATCATTTCACTTGTATATTTGCGATGTGAAAGTAAAATCTCAATATACGTATGTTACACTCATTCGTCGGACTCATTATCATAAAGTGAATCCTTTACTATAGCATTCAGGGATGAAATGAAATCCTATAGGCTGGATAAAATGCTCTACTTACTTAAAGGAAAGCCATCTTTATCGTTTTCAATATCTCGGAAAATGCTGTTAATAACATTATCCAGTTCCAGATGGGAGTAATTATAATCTGTCCATACCAAGGTGGTTTCATTTCGCAAAGCCTTGATATTTTTGCAAGCAATACCACTATATTGAGAGCAGTAACCAGCGGCTGGATTACCAAATCCAGAGGTACTTTGACAATAATTTGCAATCATTAAAGAGAATAATTGATATACTGATTATAACGAAGCATGGCATCGATTATTCTGTACCATAATACTTTCATAATAATTTATAATCAGTTAATGGAAATAATTGATATATATTAGTTATAACGAAATATAGTACTGACTACTCGGTAGCCGCTTTTATAGTTTTCATTAAGTACAGATTTTTTATGCCTATCAACATCTAGAAAGCACAGGATCTACGTGACTAGTGGTACTAAGCTTATGATATCAATAAAATCTTGTAGTTAAATACATTACTTTTACCTTGCTGGTGTGGATACTCTGAATACTCTAGTTGATTGACTGTTGGATAACAGTGGATATTTTACTATGTGCAGTGAATAATAACTAAGTTAATATAAAATAATTTTAAGAAAAGCATTTCCAAATTAAATCTGAAAATAGATTTGATAAGTTAATCTTGCGAGTAGAATCTTAATTTGTCCAGGTTAATAATAACATACTGTATACCAGAGGCTTCCTAAACTATAATTACGAATAGCTTCAAAGTCAAACAAGTCCTAATAGCTCTACCCTAACATTTTCTAGCGTGCCCATATTACATATGAGTATTAAACATCAGAACAAAAATAGCAATAACGTGAAATCATTTCAAGCCGATGATTTTATAAGAGACTTCAAACAGAGACAAATCATAAGTAGTAAAGCTCTTACGATTCTGAACTTTATGAAATATCGGATTTAAATGATAACGAGAAATGATAGTAAATGTGTAATGCACTAACCGAGCAAACTATATGTTGCTTCGAAAGGGATCAAATCTAGCAAGAATAGCCATATAATACTATATGTTGTCTAATTTTACTAGGTTTGCTAGCTTCAATCAAACACATAATAGAGATTTGTCGTAATCATTCACTTTAATAAAATCTGAGAATAAGATGAATTAAATTATTCGTGAAGCATTAAACTGTTAGTACGAGTACTGAAAAAAGTAAATAGTCATTCTTTGTAAGAGATGAATAATTTCTGGATCATTTACGTAAAACATATAGCTTGATCGTAATAGATTGGATTAAACAATCATATGCACTCATGGAATATTTGATTGAGGGTAGCATTCTTATTTCCAATATTTTAAAAATATAATTATATACTTTTATGGATTGATAGACGATAGTTGAAATGTAACAAGTATGAGACATTAACGAAACTCTAATGTAAACGAATAAGACGGATTACATTTCGCCTTATGTCTATCGTATGAGATTTAACGGGGTACCGGCAAGTACATTACTCAAAAATGAAGCTTTTTAATACTAATTTTGGATTTGCAACTGCCAAGATTTGCTTTTGGTCTTAATGATATCGGCATTGATCCAAACATGTGAAATATTTAACTCTATCGGCAAAGAAGTTACCGTAGTCCGATCCTAAATTGAATGAACCTTCTTTATAAAACTACGCTAACTATGCAAGGTTATATAATTTTCTAATGATGAAATCTTACCTAATGTGATTAATAAAATTAAAGGTGTTATCATTGACCATTTCTTCATTGTCATCTTTAGTAAATCGAAGTATTAAATTTCAGTAGGGTGAAAGCGGCTATACTAGTTCATACTAATGGTGCATAAAATGCATACCATTAATAAGATTCAGAGGATATACTAGTATTGGGAGACTCATATCCAATCATTGATTACTCATACTAAAATATAATAAATGAAAACTTTTAGCTTAATAATAATAATTATTATTCATCAGTTAATAATATCTTTAATTTATTCACGAATTCATATAAGCATGATGCCAGTTCGATCGGTAAGTCGATTAGTTATGAGTCTCCTAAGCTACTAGATGATACTTATGCAATAAAACTACAATTATTAATGTAAATCTTTCAGCTTCATGTAGCATACCTTAGCAAATTTTTTATGAGTTAATGAGTGGATTTCGGCAATTAATCATAATTGACGTTTTTGGCCTAGTGTAAGAAGAAGGTCGCCTGACTGATTTAGTAAATTTACTCGTAGTCATATGAAAGTTTGATGATATTGCCTTGTAGGACTATGCACTTTGACTGTATTATTAGCTTTAAATACGATTTACTCGAATAATCTACGTAAACAACAGTAAACACTAGGTAGGAAAGGTCTCTAATCTATGCTGCATACAAATAAGTAATAATAAACAAATTAGCCTTCAAACGATAATGAAAAATTCTATTCTATTGATAAAACTGTTCTTCTTAATAGAACTACTATGGACTAAGTTTGGAGCTCAAGTTAAGATTATTCAACGACAGAAAGGAATTTTTTCCATGAATATCACTAATCAAGTTAATCGACTTATTAAT